CCTTGATATGAAACCTTCTGTTCAAACAACGATAAACCGGTGAATTAACATTAGTAAAAACTGAGAGTCGAAATCTCCCAGGGTAGATCAAAGACAGTTCATATATTGTTCGAGGAATATACAAGTTTGAGAAGCTTCACATTCAACAAGAATTACGCAAGGAATGGATCGAACCGACCACACTCCGGATTGATGGAACACTTTCTTTCAGCTGATTTTCAGGTGATCAATGTATTTGTTGTGATACCACTAAATTCCACGATGCAAACCTGCTGAGACTTGTGCGATTCATTGAGCCATGCCCATCTGTCAGGACATTGCTATTTGGTGGCACAACTCGGCGATTCTCGTCGTCATCATCCACATTTCGTGACATTATCACCAACTTTCAAGGCGACCTCCTCCTCACTCTTCGCTGTTACAGATTGACGAATTTCAAAAATCTACAACAAAAATAAATACGTACTTTTAAGGAAGAATTACAACGAACATGAAGATGGTTATTGCTGCTTTATAGCATATGATCGTCATGAAATTTTGGAAATGATCAATAACATATCATTGCGAGCGTTCAAGTGAATAATTTTACATGCACAAGCGACAATAATTGAACAGAACATTTCGGCGAATACGAGAACACATTGTCATGATCACGGAAACGAATCAAGCGATGTTGATCTCTGGTTAACTGTGTGACAATATGATAAGGACGTGGCGTAATAAAACGGTGGAATAATATTTGCATGATGGATGAAGTTATTGTTTGCATAAAGACAAGGATCGATTGANTTGCATAAAGACAAGGATCGATTGAACGAGACGGGTGGATGAGTAGATGTATGTATTGGATGCATATGTATGCTTTTATTCATTCCTACCAAATGCTAGTGATTATTGAAAAGGAATTGATCAGAGATGTAAATGCGAAGTTGATTGCGTTCACGATGACAGTTGGAAAGAGTTTTTTGGTTATCAATGTTATCTTTCTCATTATTTTCGTCTTATTACCTTATTATGAGTAAAAAAATAAATTGTAAACAGTTAATGAGCAAAAAATGTTTCAGCTATGTGCAAATCTTAAAAATGTGAAACTTACATTCATTTTTATTATCCCATCGGCGTGAGTAGAAGTTTTTTTGACGAATCATAGCCAGAAAGAATTGATAAGACAGTCTCATGACATTGATGCGACACGAATGACATCGTAAACTGACGATTGATTTTGGTAAGCTGTTTTATCAAAATAGTGTGAAGAAGCAATGATGATGTGAAGATGCACTAATACAACACAGATTTCATTCATGCAGGCGAACGCACTTACTGATATAGCATTAGAAATATATTGCACGATGAAAACTTTGGATAAATGTTTACTTTTGGATAAATGTTGTTTCAAAAAAAACGATTTCATAAACCAAAACAGTCGTCGATAATAAATCCAACTCATTTCTCGATATTATTTCC